TCCTCCCTTTTTTAAAAATGGGGGTGATCTTCCAATCATCTGGCACCTGGCCCGAGCACCACAAGTGCTTGTAAAGCCGTGCCAAGGACCCTGCAATAACCCCGCTAGCTCCCTCAACACCCTGGGGTAGAGAGCATCTGGACCCGCTGATTTGAACATGTCCAGCCCCTCCAGAAGCTCTCTAACCCGGTCCTCCCTGGTTAATGACTGGCAAGATTTTTTTTTTGCTGGTAAATCCTCATTTACCAGCATCTATGCTAGCTGTAGAGCACTACTTCTGTCCACAAGCAAATTAGTTGACCAGCTGGGTATTGAGTAGAAAAGAAGCAGTAAAGCTCACAAATAGAGGTGGACTGATGCTACCATCTGATATTAAGGTTGCACAATACCATTTACAATAACTTTTTCTCATTTATATCTTTGTTATAATCTCATAACTTTTGGGCATCTATTCCTCAAATGAATTTTGAATTGCAGACTACAGCCAATTAAGGCAAAATATATTTTCCCATGGTTTTGTTCTATGTCAAAATTCTGGCAGTCTTTTCTTTTGATGTTCTAATGCCCTCTTTCTTTGGATCGAAACTTGATTGGGGTGAAGCCTCTGTGTCAGGGATGTCCTCATGAAAAGCTATCAAAATTCAGTCGAGTCTAATTTATAGGTCTCTCTTTTTTCCCCCACTCTTTAAGGCAGGTAGCACATGCTTACAGAGACTTGTTAGAACTTTGCTGCTAAAATCTTTGACTGTACCATCCTTAGTAGGCATCCTGCAGCTCAGGACTGAGTAGGACTTTAATTGCTACTGCAGGCAGTGCTGGGATTGGGCACTAGAACTAACAGATGTTGCTTGCCTCCCTTATACTCAGTGCTGCCTTGGCTGGGGGCTAGGCAGGGTACTGAAGGAATGATTTAAGTGTAAAGGAAACAAGGGATGGATCTGGTGAAAACAGGAAGCTTGAGACCAGTGGTTTGGGACTTGGTTTAAGGGGAACACTAGGACTCATTGGAAGCTAGCATAGTAAGAAAGGGAGGAGGCCTGGCAAGAAACAGAATTGAAAGGAGAGCTGTGACTGATTGGTGGTGGGGCAAGAATCAGGGAATCAAAGATCGCATGGAAAGAATAGTATTTGCTCATCTAGAGCTATCACAGTGCAGGGGGACTGATTAGGATTGAATAGGCAGAATGAATTCTGGCATTTCGTAGCTTTTCCTGGCATAATTAACAAAACCTTTTCATTTATTTTCAATGTACAGAGCCCTAAACAGGTAATGTGTGCTAAAAGGAATAAAATGTATAGAGAGCTCACAATGTGGCACTTTTTCCAGTTACTTCAGTAGGAGTTAGATTGCACCTTTTAAAGCAGAAGCAGCTTCATTAGTGAATAAATGCAATTTGACCCTTGTATAGAGGAAAGCTGAGGGGAACTAGTAGGGACAGTTTAGAGGATTTATGGTGTCAGTTTTTCTGGCTCCTGCTTAATAAAAGGAATTACCCATATTCTCTGGAAGGTAACATTAATGATACAGGGAAAAAGGAACTCTTAATGATTTAGTGATGGAAGCAGAGACCTGCATATATTATCTGATTGTCTTATCAGAGGTAAAGAATAGCTTTGGCAGATGCTGACTAAAGTGACTCATGTTGCAGGCAACTAATCAGTTGTTTAGATAAGTAATCTTGCTCTGAAGTGTCTGCTGTTGCTCTAGGGTTGCAACAGCTGAAACCTCCTGACTGATCTGCCCTCTGTATTCAACTAAGACAATATCTATTCTTCTTTTAATAGTAGGTTTTTCCCCCTAAATTCTAAAATGTAATAAAATTGAATCACCAACTCCAAGAAAGTAAAACTGAAGAGAACACGAGTTCAAAGCCAAGCCTGGCATCTGTACAGGTAAACCTGTAAGGATATTCAACCTTTCTATTCCCCCTGCTGTTGTAGTCCATGCTTGTCTACTATGATCATACCATAAGGCTGGATTTTGGAGGGTTATCAAGAGGATATTTTGGACTGCAACTTTCTAGATTTTTTTTTTTTATTATGAAATATACTTGTTTGTATATCTGTAGGTCTCAGTTGCTTCTTGTTGGAGAATGAAGACCCAAAGTTTGTGCCAGGGTGGGTAATGTCCAAAGCTTGAATAGTCTTGCAACTCACTTACCTAAATACCCTACAGATGTGGGAACGTCTCAGTCCCCAGTTGGCTCATCTTGCAGTTATTTTTATAAAATTTAGTACAGCTAGTGTTTTATAAACAAACTAGTTAATCATCTGAGGCCTTGTGAGAGAGTTTCAGTATGTGAAAAATGAAGATATTTACTTAAGGCACATGCGAGGTCGTGGTTGGCAGGGCTAACCGGACCTTGTCGTGCATCCACAGGTGCATCTTGAGTAGAGCCAAGGAGGTGATCCTCCCCCTCTACACGACGCTGGTCAGGCCACAGCTGGAGTATTGTGTCCAGTTCTGTGCGCCCCATTTCAAGAGGGATGTGGACAACATGGAGAGGGTCCAGAGGAGGGCCACCCGCATGATCCGGGGACAACAGGGCAGACCCTACAGTGAGAGACTGCGGGACCTGAACCTATTCAGCCTCCACAAGAGAAGGCTGAGGGGGGACCTGGTGACCGTCTATAAACTCACTAGGGGGGACCAGAAGGGTTTGGGGGAGACGCTGTTTCCCCTAGCGCCCGCTGGCATAACAAGGAGTAATGGGCACAAGTTGATGGAGAGGAGGTATAGATTGGACATCCGCAAAAACTACTTCACAGTTAGGGCGGCTAGGAGCTGGAACCAACTTCCAAGGGAAGTGGTGCTGGCCCCTACCCTGGGGGTCTTTAAGAAGAGGCTGGATGCCTACCTGGCTGGACTCATTTGAGTCCCGTTTCTTGTTTTGGGGTTTTGTTGTTCTCCCGCCCTGGCGGGGGGTCGGGCTAGAAGATCTACTAGGTCCCTTCCGACCCTAAATCTATGAAACTATAAGTTGTAACCAAACAATCCATTCCTCTGACCCATTTGTAAAAACATAGGCATTAGGCATTGCCTCTTTTGCACCCTTATTTGTCCATCTTGTTCATGTGCCAACTGTACAAAGTGCCTTTGGGAGAATCTCTGGGCAGTTATCCTTACTGTCTCCCCCATAAAATGTTCAGAAGCCCATCTAGTGTCACTGCAATTTGTGGGACACTGCTGGAAGGACTAGTCAACCTGACAAACAGGATTGGCTATTGGCTTCTGTTTATACAGCAAACAAGTGTTGCAGCCTTTCCGTAAGCAGATGATCTTACTACCTAGGCTTCTGGAAAACTTGGCAAATAGTTACCTGCCACAGTTCCTTGTGTTTTATGCATCATAATTGCAGTAAAATTCATGTTGAAACTTCCTTTGAGAGAGCACTTAAGTGACTTGACCAGAGCCACAGATTAGCAATTGGAATGCTAACAAGAATGCAGGAACAACTAGTCATTGTCATTCACTGGAATACCATCAGTGTCAGGAAAAATTGAGTAAATCTTCAACTTCAGCCCTTGGTTACTATACATTTTACAGATTCAGAACCATCGTTGAAGCTTTCTATCTTTTTGACCTAAAATTAGTGTTCATATTCCTATGAATTCCCGATATGAAACCATGTGCTTCATGGTTCCTAAAAATTAAAGGTCAACCATATTGTGAAATGTCTTTTTGCATCTGTTATGTGAAGAGATCCTCATAGCTTAAATATGTCACAACTGTAACATTAGTTACTCATGGAAATGTTTTCCATTCTGTCAGTTGCAGCTTTCCAAATGAAGCCCAATAAAGAAGTGCATTTAACCTGTTTTATAAAAAATAGTACCAAACTTTTACATGAGTAATATCCTATTGTTAGAACAATCTGTTGAAAAGAATAGCATAGAGAAACTACAGCATTAGTATAGAATTAAGTAAAATAGTGCTTGTTATTTAAGACACAAGTAAAAAAAAAAGTAATAATAGTCTAATCGTAAATTTCCAGAATAAGGTTCTGCCTTTATATATGAATAATCCTGGCCTCTCAGTAACCCATTAAGGTGGGTATTGTCCTCATCTTGCATTTGGAAGCACCTGAGGCGCACACAGACCACAGAAAGTGCCTTTCTTCATCTGCTGAAAAGATTTGTTCTTTAAAATCTTATAAAGAGTTGGACTTGATTCTTATTCTGCTGAATGTTACAGTCTCTTTTCTTTTCATTAGGTTGTGCTTTGTATATCTGTTGATGTGTCTAAAGACTATGGACATGTGGAGAACGTCCTGAAACAAGTAAGGAAATAATAGATTTATTTATGTTCAGAAAGCTCTTTCTCATGCTACAAGTGTGTAGTAGAAATAGTTTCTTGTAAATATTAACATTTGACTTGCCAATCATAGGAAAAACACTTTCCTACCTATTAATATAGATCATGGTTGCCCAACTGGTGGCCCACAGACTGTTTGTGGCCACCAAACAGCTTGCAGCCTGCAAGTTCCCAGTGCAGCTGCCACTGCAGTTCCCCCTCCTGATTTGCTACTGTTATGGCCACCAGGTTCTTTGGGTTCCTCTAGCTTCTACTTACTGCTCCTGTTCTTGGGGGTGGGGCAGTGCAGCAGGAGAGGGTGGGATGCATGTGCTGCTTGAGACAGGGGAGATGGCTGGCGCTTGCACTGTATACAAAAAAGACAGGTACTGGGCTGCCAACATTGTGGATGAACATGTGGCCAGGAGAGGAGGAGGGAGCCAGGCTGTTTGCGCTGTGTGAGAAGGCTAGGGTTCCTACATGGCAGGGAAGAGCCCTGGCGCTGCCTGCATGGAAAGCATCCCTCAGTCTGTAACACACCCCTCATGAAGTCTCCAGAATTGTGGCCTGTGTGGCATGTGGTCCTCATCTGCCTGGAAGTTGGACAGCCCTAATACAGATAATATTTTTCCCTTCTTAGGCTCAGGAGAAATTGGGACCAGTTGACATGCTTGTTAACTGTGCTGGAACTTCAATTACAGGAAAATTTGAAGATCTTGAAATGAATTGTTTTGAAGTAAGTTTACCATGTTCCCTTACTTCTGTTGGACAAATATTCTGAAGTCCTTGCAGACTTGTTAAAATTGTATTAGTGTTTCATGAAAACTCTTAAAATCTTTTTTATGAGGTCAGTTCTACTGTGTGAACTCAGTATATAAATTGAAAAAATATTGTGTGCCTTATAAACAAGAGATGGGCATTAGCCTGAAAAATTTCCTAGAAGATATCTTCCATATTTTGATTAAAAAAGAAAAACTACTACAGGAGAGCTGAGAAATATGGAAAAATTTTAGTAGCTTATGGTAAAGTACTTTGGGTATGAAATAAACTAGGTAGGTAAAATAATATTCTTTTCTGTTTGTCGTACATGTTTGGGTTTTATTTAGAGCTCTGCAAAAGTGTTAGATAGTCTGTCACATTTTGATCTGTTGGGGATCTTGCAGGATACTTTCTCTTGGCAGCTAATCAGTTGTAGTTTGTGCCTCTTGCAGGCCAGTTAACTTGAGTTGAGCACAATTATAGAGTCATAGAAAATTAGGATTGAAAGTGACCTCAGGAGGTCATCTAGTCCAACCCCCTGTTCAAAGCAGGACCATCCCCAGCTAGATCATCCCAGCCAAACTTTGTTTAGCCAGTCCCAAAAACAACCTGCCACACTGGGACATTTCAGCTTGTTTCTGCATCCCAGTTGGAAGCCATTGTCTAGTTTCTCAGGTAGGGATATTTCTGGGCACATGGAGAAAAAGGTGAGTGCCTAGAAAACTTTCAGGCCAAATAGAGCAAGAACTAGTGAGGTGCTTCTAGAGTTGGGGGATCTCTGAGAGAGAGTGTGTAGATTGCAATTTGGGTATATTTATCTAAAGTTCTGTTTTAGGCTCCTAAATCCCAAATAAAAATAAAAAAAAGGATCTGGCCCCTAACTCACATCTCAGCAAAAATCTCTAGCTAGAAGTTTACTTACATGACTCCAGCATTTTGTCAATCAACAGCTCTCTAGGTGCAAAGTTTTAAAATGCAGTCAAATTTATCTCCTCCGTAATTTATTTTAGGCTAACTTTAAAAAATGTTCCTATTGTCAGGGACAGAAATTCGCATCTAAAACGTATCGCCTTCCCTTGCTAAGATGATTCTGGAACAGTTGTTCCAATTAATTCATTCCTTTCCTCAGGTACCTGGAGTGTCGGTCACAAAATCTTGCAAGGAAGCATAAACCATTTTGCTTTTGCTTATGCATACTTTTAAGGGGTTGTGTGTGGATTGAACTCTAGTTAAGGGCACCACTAAGTTAGTTATATACTGACAAGAAGTCCTTAGCCAAGGAAATGACTGATTGTCCTAAGTCACGAGGACTGTTTCCATGTGGAGATGGAAAAACATTGATAGGCAAGATTTGGTTTCAGCTGATTGATCAAAGCATTCATTGTCTTTCAGCTGAGGGGTGCTTGCTGACATGTGAAAAGCACCTAGAATACAGTACTCGGATTAAGTTCTTTTAAGAATGTATTTCTTAAAACTGTACAGTATGTTAAGGAGTAGGATTTGGGTTCATTTAAGTCAACGTCTTTCCATTAACTTTAATTAATACTTAGTATAAAAACCTGACGTGCCTAAACTGGTTCATCAGCAGGCTTCTTGCCTTAAAGCTGTAAGTATATTGTGCAAAGTGTGGTCCATGCTGTTATTATCGACAAGAAATCTAATAGTCTGTCAACACAAGTTGAATTCTCCACACTGCAAAACCAGCAACAGCTTTCCATGGTGCCAGACAGGCAGCAGAATAGATTGCCATCTCACTTTGGTACAAGAAGGTACCATTTCAGTTTACTCTAGGCAAATACTTGAACTTGAAATCACTTGGTACATTAGCAAGCATAGAAAATGGCTATATTTAGCTTACTGTCAGTCTTCCTTTCTGTGTGGAGGAAAGGTTGGACTTCTGTTTTACTTGGGATCTGTGTGTGTGTGTGTGTGTATGTATATGTGTGTGTATGTATGTATGTATGTATGTATATATATATGGGGGGGTGTTTTGTTTTTGTTTCTTTTCCCTTTTGCAGGGAGTTAAACTGTGTTGTTCAACTTTACAAGTACTTACGGTCAATTCTTGCAACTTGTGTTGAAGGCTTCAGACACTGACACCTGTTGTGTTCCTGCTATGCTGAATGGGTGAAGAGTTTTCGTGGTGGGATGGGGATGGGACTGTTCTCACCTGGTGTGCTGTATACTGCAGCTTTATGATGTCCTACTGTTGTGGGGTGTACAACTCATGAAAGTAGCTAGCTGAGCAGTGTATTCACTACCAAACAAATAAGTATAACACAAATAATCATGCCAGATTTTTAAGATAACCTCTGTTTTTGGGTCAGTGTCCCCAGTGACTCCCTGACTTTGGGACTAGGTAATATCCTGCAGTATCTACTAAAAAGGCTGTCTAAAATGTGGCTATACTACCACAGGCTAATTCTCAGCCTGGAAGTGGTGTAGCTGTGCCTGGGCTAATTGGCTCTACTCCTTAGTAGAGCTAATTACTATAACTATTTTCATGCTGCTCTGAAGTGTAGAGCTATTAGCATGCCACAGTTTTTTGTACTACTGTTGCTATAGTAGCTGGAGCAGATGTTAATTACTCCTAGCTGCTGGTTTGTTGCATTTTGCCCCCCAGAGCAATAATTTAAATTTTAAGTTAGCCTGTTCCTGCTCTGTTTGTCCTTATATAATCTGTACTTGTTCAGTACACTAGTCTCATAACTAGGGACCTGCTTAAATCAAGGTGAGAGAGGGTTTTTCATAACCCATTCACAGCACACAGATCCGATTTCAAGGACATTTCCTGGTGGCCCCACCCCTCGGCACTGATTGGTGGAGATGCCCCGACGGGGAGGAGGATTGAGGGGGTAGCTGCCATTGTCTGCTGTCCTTTGTGCCACCCCGCCAGCTGGTGCCTTCCCCTTGTGGCAGCGAAGACTTCGGGGAGCCAGCATTTTTGTTGTTGTTGATTCTATGAAATCTGTTAAACTGTGAATTAAGTAGGTCGCTACCCATAACACACAATTTTAATTGAATTATAGATTATGGAAGGTCAGGATTTTTTCTTCTATAGAGCAGAGACAGACAAAAAACTTTGCCTTACCCTACCAGTAGCTGGGTGATATCCAAAATGTAAATCATCAGACTTCTGACTCATGTTTTGAAACATGTAAAACTGTGTGTGGCTTTACTTTTAATTCCTCATTGTATGTTTGCATATAACCGAATGCTTAATAGTTCTGTACACCAGGGCTTGGCAGCCTATGACAAACAGGCCAGATCCAGCCAGTAGAGCCGTAGATTTGGTAGCAGGGGGTCTCTGCTGGTACTGTGGCCACAGTCAGGTGACATTCTCTCCACTAGAGGGGGTTTTGCTGCAAAGTGACAGGAATGGCAGCCAGCTCCTAATGCCTGCTCTCCTTCTGCCTGAACTGGGTTATTCTGACTGCTCACCAGAAAACGTTGCCGACTCCTGCTCTACACGGTTGCAAAAAGGCTTTTTCTATATTAAAGTCAGAGTTCAGTAATTGAAAGATAGTAACTCTTTTTCTTTCTGAAAAACAACATTTTGTTCAAGGCATTTAGTATGTTAAGTGGCATTAGATAATTTATATTGAAATATTCATGCTTGAGGTAGGCATCTTGACCACAAACACTGTCCTAAGTTTTAGAATAGAAAACGGTTTTATCTTTCCTAGAGCAACTGAAAGAATTAATCACAAGTCTTTTAAGAGTTATGATTTGACAGATTTAAGTATGGATTTTGAGAAATGTCTGTTTGACAAATAGTATATAATTTGTGCAGAACTTAATGGCCGTCAACTACCTGGGTAGTGTTTACCCAAGCCGTGCAGTAATTCCTACCATGAAGGAAAGAAGGATGGGAAGGATTGTGTTTGTATCATCTCAAGCTGGACAGCTGGGGCTGTTTGGTTACACAGCTTATTCTCCAACAAAGTTCGCTCTTCGAGGATTGGCTGAAGCGCTGCAAATGGAGGTATGACTCATATACGGTGGCTTAAGGAAAAACATTGCATCCCTTGCATACTTACGTATGCTATCACATACTATATTACAAAAATGCTTCTATACAATAGAACCAACTAATAGACCTGTGCGTAGCAGCAGCATTTGATTTGTCTTTGGATTCAGACGATTTGAAGGGATTTGGCTACCAAATCTCCTCTGAATCAAACACGTGGTGGCAGGGACATGGCAGTGGCGAGTTGGGCCCCATCCCATGCATTGCACCCGCAGGTACCACGTGCTGTTCCGGAGCTGGAGTGGCTCCAGCAGTCGCCCAGAACCCAGCAGCACTCGGCCTGAGTGGTCCCAGCTCCTGGACAGTGCATGGAGCCACACTGCACCTATGCAATGCAACAGCTGCTACACAGGTGCCAGGCAGGGGGAACCGATCCCTCCTGCCTTGTGTTGCACGGGGGTGCTTTGCCACAAGCCCGGAGAAGCTCTGATTGCTGCTGCTGGAGCCAGTGAGTGCAGAGTTTGTCCCTTTACTTACCAGCACAGAGCCCAAGTCCAGCTCCCTGTGGCAGCGAGTGGGGGCTGTCCAAATCAATTCAGAGGCTTCCGATTTCAATTCGGACCTTTCAGTGGGTCTTCGGATTCAGAGAATCTCCTTCAAATCAAATAGGCTACAAAAGCTTCACGTAGCCCTACCAGTTAAGCAAAGTGATAGTATTTGAAAATGACACATCATTTTCATTTCACAACTCTTCTGACAAATCCTAAGTATACTTCAGGACTGAAAGTCACTTCAGAGTTCCATGTTTGTCAGTAATGTTTGGATAAAGTGTCTATCTTAGAAGTAAAAAAAAATTTCTAGTTGTTACTCCTGCAAATTATCAGGCAAGTTATTTTCTTTCTGTTTTATGCATCGTTGCTGATAAATAATAGTGTTCTATTAGATCTTTAGTGGGAATTAATTGCTCTTTTATAGGTTGCCCAAATTTAACTGAATGAAATTTCAATAAAGAATTCTGATACATGGGAAGGAGTAGAATTGGTTCATTCTTAGACTCAAGAAGCCCACACAGCCTGAAGTAAAATGGTGAAAACCCTTTTTTTTTGAAAGGGGCTGTGATTATGAACAAGACAAATCTGTTGAATTAAGAGAGACCTTTCTAATATAATTGTTTCTAGTGCTATTTGTTTTCTAGACCTGTATTCTCTCGAATCTGTGAAAGGTGTCAACTTATAGTAAACCATAATGTGTCCTTTGCTTTAATTTATAAATTAAGTTTGGGTCGGGCCTAGTGGTAAACAGTTAAACAGATTTGAGAGTAGAGGGAAAAGCAGTCATGATAAGTATATCCTAATAGGCACCCAAGTAAAATGCATTTAAAAGTTAAACAGTTTCATCTAATTAAATTTAAAAATATAATGCATTTTCCTTTTGATTTATAGATCAGCAATTCTCAACCAAAGTGTAGCAGCACTCTGGCTGCCATGAGATCTTTTCAAGGGTGCTGCAGGGTGCCATGAAATGTTATCACTGTTAGGTGTGCAAACATGATTTATACGATAGTTCCAGAGGTTTCAAACTGGAATTCATAGTGTTACAAATGATCTCCCCTGTTGTGGACTTTGAGTTCTTTGCAACAGAAGAATTGCTCTATTATTTTTCCTGTAGTCAAAAACAAATGAAAATTAAGAGCTTTTATTTTCTGAGCAGTGTCTCGACTCTTAACAAGGTTGAGAACCACTGTTAGACCTTTGTTCCCATGATTAGGAGTGCTGTAGAGATGGGGTATGCTCTTTATATAGCTAGAGCATTTTTGCACATGTTTCAGGGGAGGCACTTCAATTAGAGCGGCTCCAAGAGCCACTGTAATGAAAGCGACAGGAGCGTCTCCTGTATCAGCATCCCCATGCTTCAAAATGGCAGCAAGGATACTGCCTAAAGCTCATTGAATGACCTTTAGTTAAAGTGCCCCCATCACCATCTTGAAGTGTGGATGCTGATACATGAAAGGCTATTTGAGCATGGTAATTACCACACTCCAGCAGACTCGTTTAATTGAGGCTGCTCCGATGTGCTGTAAAATTACTGTGTATCGAAACAGCCTCCTGGCTCGTGTACAGGCACCCCTAGTGACTGGGGTATGCGAGGGGGATGCCTCTCTCCACTCCATCTGTCTGTCTAATGGCACCTGAAGGCTATTGGTTCAGACTTCTTGAACATAAGGTTAGTCATTTGATTTCTTAGGTGGCTGATGATTTTTGCTCAAGCCTAATTCTCTACTCTGAGTCCTTGAGCATCTGAAAGTTAGATAGTTCATCAAGTAGATTAGGACACAATACTTAAGAGGAATGAATATTTATGAAAGGTATATTTTTTGTACTCTAATGTTGCTTCTGGGTTCTCATACTTTGGATGTAAGTTTTGAATCATTGAGCTTATTTGTATTGAGGTAGTTTATCATAAGTTGGTACCTTACTGTGTGTACTGTACAAACATCTAAAAAGCAAATCCTTGCCTCGGGATTCTTTCTTCTTTCTTTCTCCCTTCCACATTTTTTGTTTTGGGTGTAATGTTTTCCCAGTTTTTATTTTCTTGTGATTTCTATCTTTTACTATCTCAAGGGTTAAAAAAAAAAAAAGGGACTGCTGAATGCCAACAAACCTCAGAGCCTTGAATTTGTTTGTACTGACTTCTGCCACCTCTACTTTTTACCATCTTTGCCATCAGTAAATGAATATCGCAGACTAATGTTCATTATTATCTTAATTTAAATTTGTTCTTGCTGTAGATTTTGAAATCATAGTCGGGCAGAGGGGTTCAGCTATGTTGTGAATTGTTCCTATTGTTGTTATCTTGAAATAATTTAATAATTAAGAATCGGGACTAGGGGTGGGGGAGTTATGTTGTTCCTGCACTTCGATGCTCCCTACTTTGCATTTAGCAAGAATTTTAACTATTGCATTTTGGAATGAAAGACTTTAAAGACCAGTTATATAATAAGATCAGATATTTATTATGCTTCCTCATGAAAATTTTAGCTTTCTTCCTGAAAACACCGTCTAAGATTACTCGGGTATTTGCAGATTTGTAACTTGGGGGTGGGGGCCGTAATATCTTAACTGTACAACAGAAAGTCTTCTAAATGTGACTACTTTAAAATGTCTTTTGTTTAAAAGTGTTTGTTTTTGGGTTTTTTGAACAAAATACAGGTAAAGCCTTATAACATCTACATAACAGTTGCCTATCCTCCTGACACTGACACACCTGGCTTTGCAGAAGAAAGTAAAACCAAGGTAATTCTAATTCTTAAAGAATCTTATACACATCCATAAGATTTGTCACTTAAAATTGTATGGTCCTCTATATTCACTGACATGTTTTTGAGATTAGTATGCTAGAAATATTTAACACTGAGTACAGTATACTATTTAACTTTATCAAAAATTGATCAGCGCAAACATTCAGTTTGGTTCAGTGTACATTTTGAATCTTTTTGATTCAGCCAGGTAGATGTCATGCCTCCTCTTAAAGACCCCCAGGGTAGGAGTCATTACTACTTCCCTTGGAAGTTGCCCTAGCCGCCCTGACTGTGAAGTAGTGACTTCAGATGTCTAGTCTAAGCCTACTCTCTAACAATTTGTTAGACACAAATTAAACACTTACCTCGTGCTTAATATCAGAATAAAGCTATTTGGGTTTTTATGGTATTTGACCACAGCCCCTTTCTACATCTATGGGTAAGAAGAAGAGAGCATATTTTGGCAGGATTTAATGAAAATGGTTGGAGGCTGCAAATAGCTGTGGAAAGGTTGATCTGTAGCCTTGGATTGAGTGGGAGGTGGAATTGAGTGTTTTTGAAAGTTGTGAGTTAAAGACAACAGTCTCTGCAGTGGAGGGGGGGAGAGAGAGAGACTCTATATAATTGATAATTAATTGACATGGACATAGATATAGATATCTATTAATTATATATTATAATTTATTGCATTTATAATATACTCATCTTTTGTCTGATATTATATCATAATTATACACTAATTTATATATAATTAATTGTATATCAAAATTTAATAATGTGGCTTGATATAGATAATATAAATATATAGATAAAGCCACATTATTAAAAATTAATAATCAGTGTTAGTGATCTGTATAAAAAACAGGAAATCTTGATTTTAATTTTCCAGTGTATTTGTACTTCATTTATTTTCCTAATGAAGGTTTTTCATTGGCTGGCCAAACGTGGACTTGTAATCAAATAGCCTTGAAAATAAGAGACAGATTGTATTCCATCTATTAGGTGCTTAAGTGGGCTTTGCCTGTGTGGGATCATATTCCCCATTC